TCTTGCTCCCGAACGTACTCCTGTGGGCCGCTTGTTCATATCTCCCAAATTCCAAGTGGACATTATTCGCTGTTTCCACGATAGCAAGATCGCTGGTCACCCCGGCATCCACAAAACTTACTGTCTGATCTCCAAAGACTTCTGGTGGCCCGGTTTACGTAGGGATGTGGAAGACTTTGTCAAGGCTTGCAATGTTTGTGTCAGGAATAAACTTCCGCGGGATCTCCCTTGTGGTTTATTGCAGCCCTTAGTCGTTCCCAACAAACCTTGGGCTTGTTTGGCTATGGATTTTATTGTTGATCTACCAGCTTCAAATAGGCATACAGTTATCCTCACGGTCCTTGACAGGTTTACTAAAATGGCTCATTTCGTTCCCTTGCCTAAACTTCTGTCCTCCCCCGAACTGGCCGTGATATTTGCTAGAGAAATTTTCCGTTTACATGGTATTCCCAATGAGATTGTGTCAGACAGGGGCTCCCAATTTATTTCCCGTTTTTGGAGATCCTTCTGTTCACAGTTGGGCATCAAACTGAATTTTTCTTCGGCCTATGATCCTCAATCTAACGGAGCAGCCGAACGCACTAACCAAAAAATTGAGCAATATCTACGTTGTTTTGTTTCTGAACACCAGGATGACTGGGTCGGTCTGATTTCTTGGGCGGAGTTTGCTCACAACAACCTTGTTTGTGGTTCCACTCGTAATAGCCCCTTTTTCTTGAACTATGGCTTTAACCCTACTGTTCTTCCGTCGGTGTCTCCTTTCCAGGGTATACCGTCGGTTGATATTCATATAGCCAACCTGAGAAAGTTGTGGGATCAGACTCGACAAATTCTTGAACGTAGTTCCGCGGTGTTTAAGTCACATGCTGATAGGCGTAGACGTCCTGCTCCTATTTTTTCTCCAGGGGATAGGGTCTGGTTGTGTACCAGACACATTCGCCTGAAAGTTCCTTCCTTGAAGTTTGCTCCTCGCTACATTGGTCCTTACAGGGTACTGAGGAGGATCAATCCGGTTTCTTATTTGCTGGATCTACCTCCTACTCTACGCATCCCTAACTCTTTTCATGTGTCGTTATTGAAACCTCTTGTTTGTAACAGATTTTCCTCCCGCTCTGCTCCTCCATCCTCGGTCCGTGTGGATGGTCAGGAGGAATATATCATCAAGTCCATCCTGGATTCTCGTATTTCTAGGGGGAAGCTGCAATACCTCATAGACTGGAAAGGTTATGGTCCAGAAGAGAGGTCTTGGGTCCCTGGTATAGACGTGCATGCTCCTCGTCTTCTTCGGGCCTTCCACGTTCGTTTTCCTTCTAAACCAGGTCCCATCCGCCCGGTGGGCGTTTCTAGAAGGGGGGGTACTGTCAGGGTACCTGTTGGTGATGTATCCAGGGAGGACATCCTCTCTGCTTAGGGGCTCCCTTCCCCTAGCATTTTGGCATATTTCGGCCGTCTTCGCGCCGGCCGCGCTAGCTCCTCCCCCTTTTATGACGCGACGGCTAGCGTCGACGTCATGACGTCGGCATTTGCATAAAGTGCCGGGAACCGCTATTCCGGACCTTTTGGGGGTGTGGTCTCTATTTAGGTCACAGGGTATTTAAAGGAAACCTTTACTACTGCTCATTGCCCTGTCGTGGTTCTAGCTTGCTAGTCACTCAGCGCGTTCTTTATCTTGTGTTTCCGGTTTTGACCCTTGCTTGTCTTTTGTCCTGTTGTCCTCTCCTCTCCTTGACTCGGCTTGTATCTCGCTTACCTGTCCTCCGGCTCCCTTGACCTCGGCTTACCTTTTGACTATTCTTGCTTTGTCCTTACGTTAGTCCGGCCATTCTAAGGTCCGGTATACGTACCTCCTTCTGTGCGCACTCTGCGTATTGGATCCCTGTCAGTTTCCTGACACGTCCGTAGTCTTTCAATTCATTCAGGAATTAAAGGTAGAGGGTAGCATTTTTTTACTGTGATTTTATTTAAAGCTCGGTAATCAATTATGGGACGTATAGTTTGATCTTTGTTTCTAACAAAGAAGATCCCGGAGGCAGCAGGAGAAGTAGAAGGACGTATGAATCCTTTACGAAGGTTTTCATCAAGGTACTCCTTAAGAATTTCCAATTCTTTTTCAGAAAGTGGATATATGTGACCATAGGGGATAGGAGCACCAGGAATTAGATCAATAGGACAATCATAAATTCTATGGGGAGGAAGAGTTTCAGCTTCTTTTTTACTAAATACATCAGAAAAATCTGAATATTGTTCCGGTTTTAAAGTTTCTTGACTTAATTGAAATATAGAAATTTATGGGAGACAATTGTCCTTACAATACTCTGAGTCAAAGGAAGGGAGCCCAACGAATGAAGGGGTTATGAATTTGTAACCAGTTGATTCCTAAGATGATTGGAAAAAGGGGGGATTTTATAATATCGAAAACAAGAAATTTGAATGGTTATTATTGATAGTGGTCAAAATAGGAATAGTTCCATTTTTTATGGGACCAGAGGGGATTAAAGAACCATCAATAACTCTGATAGAGACAAAAGATGCTTTTTGCAGACAAGGAATTTTATTGGCTTCAACAAACGAAGAATCTATGAATATCCCCGTAGCTCCAGAATCAATAATGGCCTCACTCTTGATTCTTTCTTTGTCCCACTGTAAAATTAGAGGTACAGCAAACTGATGAGAGGAAGACGAGGGAAGGGTTTTCAGAATTGAGGTATTAATCCTAGGTTTACTTCCCTTAGAGCGTTTTAGAAGAGGACATTCTTGTAAAAGATGGTCATTAGAGGCACAATACATGCAGAGATTTAATTCTCTCCTTATTTTTCTTCAATAGACAAAGGTCCCCTAATAAACCCAACTTCCATAGGTTCAATTGGTTGCAAGGGTTTATTAGGCATTCGCAAAGGAGGACTGTGTTTTTTCCAAAGTGAATTAGAGAGAGCCTTTTCGGCTTTACGTTCTCTGATTCTTCTATCTATACTGATAGAGAGTTGAATTAATGTATCAAGCGTTGGAGGGAGAGTGGTTCTAGATAATTCATCTTTAACTGTTTCAGACAATCCTAAACGGAACTGATTACGTAGCGCTATATCATTCCATTGGGTCTCTGAAGCCCATCTTTTGAACTCAGCTATATAATCCTCCACAGGACGATTTCTTTGTTCTAATGATCTAATGGTAAGATCAGCAGTAGCTTGTTTATTAGGCTCCTCATAAAGTAATGCCATTGCC